TAAGTAATTTTAAAAAAAGGGAACAGGAATTACACCACCATTTCCTCTTATTTGTAAAAAAGGCGTGGAAACTGCGGCATGTTTGGTGTCAGTCAAAGACCTATTTTATTAAGAGGCTGCTGATCTCTGTGACACCGTACACCTGTTAATATTAAATCACTGATATTTTCCCTTACGTCTATCATGGAAGCAGAAATATGATAGATTTGCTTTATACGCAGAGGTAGAAGATTCATCGTACCTAAGTGTCAAAACTACATCCTAAAGTAAATTCACTAGTTCCGTTTTAAATCTTCTTTTCTGTAAAGAACAGATAACATTTCGACATGCTGTGATTGATTCACACGTTGAGGTGCACTGAAAATCAGAGGATTCTTCGTGCGCACGTGTTTCTTTAATGATTACACAATGACACTCTTGGTGAAGGATTAGGTGTTAATAAACGTCTTCACTGGGTAGTTACAGTTATCCGGAGTAGATAAGGAATATGGATGGTGCCTCATTAGCGTCTGACGCTTATATTTAGCTCGAATTACTTTCATCTGGTTATTGGTTAGTGAACTGTCGTAAACATTTATATATAAATTTATCTAGGAATCGGTATCACTATCACCTGTTTGGTATTTTTTTCAGATTGTCAATTGTATTATTTTATACAATGCATTTGCTCTTTTATTTAATATGGAGATCCTTTGAATTATACAATATTTGACATGGATTTCCAAGTATTTCGTCCGAGTACGATTTCCGGTACAACAATGTAGAGCACATAGTGCAAGTCTGAATATTTTACCGATTTAAATATTCAGACGCTACAACTATGCACACGATCAACTATTGACAGTATAGAATTAGAGAACAACTAATCAAATCTGCATGACGTACACGATTAATTGATACCTCTTAACGAATAATGCATATTACCTACAAGAACTGTCAATACAACAAGTGAATAATGAATGGCTGTGAGATATGTGTTGGTCATATAATCGATGACGCACTGTCCATGGCGATATGCGATGCCTTGCTAGGATTCTTCTTATATTAATGACACATGCCAAGTTTCTACTTAAATACTCTCATATTGCGACTGGCACCACGGGCGCTGTGCTGTGTTCAACGGAAACATTTTTACTTCCTACGCCAGTGAGCGAGGAACTATTGTATTTGGATGTTATATTACATGAACATCACGTAAAAGTATGTTACTTATTTCGATCGGTATGTTGATCTGTCCGGTCATCCTATAATCACCTATAACTTGAGAAGCACCGGTCGCGGTTTTTGAAAATCGGTCGAAGGCGACAGAGATAAAACCAAAAAAACGATAAAAGTATAAATCGCTCAAATTTTGTCTATTTTTGAAAAACAAATTCTAAGGGTCGAAAATTGGTGATTGAGCGGCGGAACTACGAACAAACAAGTAAAAATCGGTGGAACATAGCAAGCGGAATGGCCAAATGAAATTATTTATACAATTTTGGTAAAGAATTATAGGTGCCATGTTAAAGAGAATAATCGTTGGGCACAATTGAATCATTGACAAAGATAGACCGTCATTTCCCTTTAGTGACTGTTACTTGTACGAGTCGCTGGAGTGAATTTTGTTCAACGAAAGAGTAAGTTCTGGATATCATCTAACCGTTACCGGAAACACCCCCACCAATCTCTACCATTCGATTCGTTAGTAACAAACAGCCATACATCCCGTTTGTCATGTTCCTCTCTAATTAACCCTCTGAAAATTTTTACGCACACCCCGATGTGTTGCCCGATGCCCATCATGCCATCAATCATTTCTCGCTGATGACTAGACGCACTTGCGCTGATGTTTTGGCGTAGCGTACTTCATCCGTAATTTGATTAGCGTTAGCCTTTACTCTTCTGCGTTTTCAGATTTCATTATTCACATATAAAGCCTCGCAAGCTTCACAGTAAATGTAAACGTCTTCGATAAAGTTTAATCATAAATTATCTTAAATTCCAGTTTTGTTGTTTGCAAACTGTAAAGTTTTTGAAATTCAGTCCGGGCGAGTTGACTCATTCACGGTTCTGCTTAATCCGGAATTAGAAAATGGGCGTAACGTTCGAAAGCTAGGGCACAAACTGAGGGCATAATTTATCGCCTTTCGAGTTGGTCATGGAATGCCAGTCAACTAGCCAAATGACCGCGTTGGCGCCACATTCGTCGAAGGGGTGACATAACGACCTAACTGCGACCAGTCAGGACATCGATGACAGATTGATAGATGTCTGTCTGACCATGTGTACTTATAGTCTAATCATATTAGACGAAAATACCCCTGGTTTGCGAAATGGTTGTAAAGGTTTTATTGTATTGTAAAAGTTTTTATTAGACAACAGAGATTGAGAAAACGTGTTTTTTGGGATTCAATCGAAAGTGTTGACAGGAACGAAAAACCTCATATAAGTTTTTTAGGTATTTATTTGACCTACAAAATGAGACCACTCAAAAAGATCCGACTAGTTATGGCCGAAAATCTTGGCAAACTGCAGGTCTTGACACTTGTTGGTAATTCGATGATGGTTTCTCGCAGATGCTTGAAATTCTTCAAATTCGTAGCATTCGTACTTCTAAATAACCCCAACAAAATTGGAGTAGATTGGTCAGGTAGTTTTTGAGAATTTCTAATTGTTTGTCCCAAAACACATGTTTTTCGGCCATTACTTCTGGTTTATTGAGCAATCTACAGGGTTAGCTCAAAGGACATCTTATAGCAAAATACACTAGTTTACCTTGCTGATATGAATCGCAAACCATTCCGGAAGATTAATGTTATTTTTATGCAAAAAAGCATAGGTTATGTTTTTTCATCTAAACAAATTCAAACATTTGTCATTGGTGAGTAATTCGCAACAAAAGATGATAGACACATCCCCTTTTTAGTATAGTAACATGTTTTTCCAATATCATAGCTCATTTGTTTAATTACTCACAAATACGAAATGTTTGAATTTGTTTAGAAGGAAAAAACGTAACCTTTGTTTTTCGTATAAAAATAACAGTAGTCTGTAATTGCCGGCAATATCCAGACCGAGGCGTATTCAAATTAAAAAGTGGATACGTGTGGTGGATTGTGCTGGTGGTGGTGGTGGTATTGTCAATTCGTCATGTGAGCACCTCTCATGAATTGCTAAACAACCGCGACGTGCAGATTTCGGCCAGATAGCCGACTCGCTTTGCGCAAGGCGCTCCACTTTGCTTATAACATATACAAGTAGGTACTTCGGGCGTTTCAACATTTTGTTTTCATTATTGTTTCGGTTAAAGATTCTATGACTCTGTTCAATTGTTGATCACTATTCCTGATTGTAAAGATAAGTGTAGGCTTTACACCCTAAGGTGACAGATACCATTTAATAGTGCATATTTGCTACCTCTTACATTACCCGATGAATTTTTCATTTATTTAATAATTAGAACATTAAATAATAGTGAAATGCCGCTCGCGCCATGGGTGAAATAAAATTATTATCTCATCGGACAGAGACTATTATATTACTTTGCGGTAATGCCCCTTATATAATTGCTCAATTACTTCATGTTGGAAGTTTTGACAGAAAGTAGTATCTATATTACATACCTAGTTTGAGAAGTGTGCCATTATGGGTCGAATATATACCGCCGATTTGTTGATAATGATTCCTGAATCGAGGTATGTATAGAATGTTTTCACACTATCAACATTAGTTTCTTCAAGCTGCTCGTAGCAGCCGCGGTGCAGTACCATTTAGTCTTCTGCCTGCGCGGCTGCTTTTGCGTAAAATAATCTATCGCGAAGTATTTGATTTTCCCTCACGAGCATGACGCTTCCAATTCATTTTACAAATACCTTAAAAGATCTGATTGTCTGATATCAAACTAGCAAACTAGAATGAAAGAATGCAACAAACAGCCGATTGAGTTTAGACTGGTCACTGCAACGGAGTAAAGTACAAATGTTTTTCTTCTGTTAACATTGAAAGCTGTGTTCTAACATTATCCCGATTGTTCATATATTCAAGACGGATAACTATATAAGGAGATATACCGGATGTTTCAAATTCGACCCTCACTATTGGGATTTCGGATACTGTAAGAGATACGAAGTCGCTTAAATGGGGGCAAAGTTGCGTAAGCAACAGGTTGCCGCCTGAAAAACACCCTGTATACTTAGCACTACTTATTTATCAATACTATTCAAATGGTAGAGGGAAAATTAATAATCATAATTCCCGTATTCCCCCAAACATCAGCGGCTCATGTTGCGGTAAAGAAACTTTATTCGGTATTCGCAAATATTTTCGAGGCAAGCGGCGGGAAAACTCCGGGCAACCGGAAACGCATCGACTTTCCGGCCAATTAGAGCGACATCCGGTGCGGTGCCCGCGGCGCGGCTCGCGGCTCTCACCGAAAACAATAGACAGTCGACGACACGGCACCGGCCTCCTTTGATGCCACCGGAATGTCGCTGGATCTGTCGCCCTCCGGCCACGGCAGCCATCCTGGATGCGCCCGCCGACGACATTCTCTCATTATTTTCCACCGATGTTCGCTTTTTTCGCTGCGGTATTGTCATCCGATGCGGCGGATAAAACTTCCGTAAATGTGCCCCGCGCGTTTTGTCTCATTTCACTAGTTCGAATGCCTAATGCACACGATTTCAGTTTATCCTATCAGATACATCATACCGAATTAATGTAAACTTGGTTCTGTTTGGGATACGTTTCATACAATTAGAGATATAAACAAACTATTTCTTTTTTTTTCGTTCATTCATGCTAATACAAAAAATGTTTACAATCGTCATAACAGGGAAGAAAAGAGTATCTTCATATAGCATGAAACACGTTGAAATCATTATTTAGAAAATTAAATTTTGTTAAATAAACATTTTGGTTCAAAAAATTTCTTATATAAATCGTAAAATCATTCAAAGGCAGTGATCTATCTCGGACCTTGTTGATACCTTCTCAGTCGCTAAGCTATCAAATTTCTCTTATTTCAGCTGTCGTATTCGTGAACATCTTCGGAGGTTTCGTATAGATCTTCTTCTGTCATCATACACAAAAAGACTTGACACAGTCAGAAGCTCCCATTCAATAAACACATGTTTGCAATTATCTGTGTATTTCACCTCTACCATCAATCTAACAGCCCTCCTCTGCAGGCCAAGCACTCTATCTAGCTGCCTCAGCAGAGTGGCCCCATACAATAATTGTGCTATGTACGACTGGAATAGTGCGAAGTAATAAATACGGAGTTATGTATATTTGGCGACTCTTCTGGCATTAGGTTGCGCAGGACATAAATATTCTGGGAACGTTTTATGGATTGGACATCAATGCGGCTTTTCCATTCGAGCTTAGGATCAAGTGTCACACCTAAAATTATAAATTAAGCTTCATGTTAGATGTTTATTTTTCTCTTCTAAAACACTAGCAACAACTTGGAATACAATCAGATTTTGGCTTTTCTCAATTCAGCGTCTGTTTGCTGTTGTATTTCGATCAGATATTGATCTGTCTAAATTTGGGCATTAACCCATTATTTATGAGATCGGTAAAATAGTGTATAGATGAGAAACAGTATGCGGCCTAGGATACAACCTTGTGGCACTCCTACCGATATCTTCCTCTTTGCAGATCTCATACCATCAATCTTTACTGTTTGATATATCTTTTGCAGATGAGACACTACTAATGCAATACTATCTGGGAAACAGTTATAGCAAGTCAATTTTCTCAGAACAATATCGTGATTGACGCAAGCAACCGCTTTACGGTTCACAAAACAGACCAGAAAAGCCTCCATCACACTTGACACCAGATCAAGGATTGCGTCAGTACCGTTTTTCTGTTTGCTCTAAAACCATACTGCTTTTCAGAAAAAATACCATTTGTCTCAAAGTAATGTATGATTTGAATGACCATGCATTTTTCCCATATTTTAGCGATAATTTATAATAGTGATATTGGTCTGTAGTTTCCTGGAAATATCTTTTTGGAAAATTGGTTTAACTAGAGCCAGCTTGAGACAATCAGGAAAGATGTTGTTTTTTAAGCACATATTAATGAGGTCAGTTAATTTAAATGAGCTGATGTAGTTTATTGTTTTTAATAATTTGAGGTTCAGTCCATAAATGTCACGAACCAGTTTATTCTTTAAATTATTGATTAACTTCTAAAGTAATTGTGGTAACTTATTCATTAAAAAAATCTGTTCCACAATCAGTCGAATATACAAGTTTTCATCTGACTAATTTATGTCGCTTCTAAGCGAATTGGACGGATCGGTATCACTCACAGGCCGTTTTTCCACTAAATTCCAGCCAATTAACCCCGACGGGAGAGACGCCTTGTGCTCTCCAAAACGGATGTTTCTAAACGTTCTGTAAATTGACGCTTCGCCATCAGAAACGAAGCTCGGCCACCTGCCCGTTTGCCGTCAAAACGATGACGTACTATTTTTTCGAATATTTTTTTATAACTTTCCGTAGCAGGGCAGGATTTAGCAGTGAGAGCCAACAAATGTGACGATACCACAGAATACTGGATATCCAGGTTCGAATTCCATCACTTTCCGTTACTTTTAAAATAGTTTGCTGCTTTTGGTCAACGTTTACTATTTTGTACTCTGAAATGCAATACTTTTGTAATTGCACTGCTTCGGAGTATCTTTTGTTTAAATTGAAAGTATGTTGAGCGAGAAATAGTTTAAGCGAGAATAATTTCGCAATATATTGTATAATTTAAGAAATAGATTGTTGTTATTATAGCAGATATCGGTAGTGTGGTAGCATCATTTTTCTAACAAATATTGCAATATTATTTTGATGAAACACGAAAAATGTAAGCCACCCATTCGCATTTACATCGACAAGCGTGTAAAATCAACCCTGAAATATATTTCATTCGTTTTTATGACTGACGTAGCTCTTATATTTTCGCTTTATCGTTCATGTTTATCTAATGTTACGGTCTTAATCACGAAGTAGGGAGTTCACGTTTAATGTTTTTCGAGGGAAAGTGGCGGCATGTAATATTTCACTTTATATTTGTAAGAATGACAAACATTCCGCTTTGTGATGATTAATTGCTAGATATGTACGCACTACTACATAATATATGAGTTTTTATAGTCACCCCGTAGATACATAGAATAATGTTGCCTAAATAATAGGTACGGAGAGATAGAAAATAGCGCAGTGCCAATGACTATTTAACCTAAAACAACAAAGGGAAAAATTTCATATAGAAATGTTGAATATTAAATTCAAAATGTTGCTAATAGATTGTCATAATATGTTTTCAATGTCGACTCAGTACAATTGCAATATTCCAGTTTTATTTGCAAATACTGTAAATATACTGCAGTTACATCCACTGTAAAATCAGACAATCGATTCCAATTTTTGGCGCGAAGCGTTAAATTAGACGAAGAAACTGACATTTTGACTTGAGTCATAGTAAAGTTCATAATCAACAACCGAAATGGAAACAGTACACGTAACTCTCGAAGTAGCTCAACCAACCATCTGCCTAAATATTCGGGTTTCAAATTTGGCCGGGTACTCGATACTCGGCATTTAAAAAAAAAATTATTCCGATTGCATCCCTAATCAATTGTTTACTCGAAACAATGCTTTCAAAAAATGTTGCATTGTTGTTGTATTGTGTAATATTGTGAAGTACTACGAAATCAATCTACTTTTGAACCACATAGCATGCGACCATTGGACGAACCTACAGTTTTTTAACAACCAATGTGGCCTGGCCCACATGTAGTAGGATTTCAAGTTCAGTCAAACGAGCAGACAAAAAACCGAGAAACATGAGAATAGTGCTCAAATGTAAGGATGATTAAAAAAATTACACATGTAACAATCCGGCACGTCTCGTATAACGGATCGCTCAGTCTCTAATGAAAAATAGATGACTTGTAACGAAATACAAAACACATGTCGTTAATTAGGCGTTTAGAGAAATAGGCGAGAAGCGCCGAGCAGCAAAGTATTGCTCTCTGTTTTATTTCCCACGCATTATTGGCAAAAACCGGATAGCAGCATATTGCTCAAAAAATGGCGTCAAGGAGATTGACTCTACGTTGGAGGTTTCAAAGAAAAGGGATGGGTCAAGTCTTCTCAAAAGATCAAATCATATTAACTAGGTACGACAAATCTTCGACCTTTGCATATCAAACGATATAAACTAAGTACGAACGATGTAGGGAAAATATATGTGACTTATTATGTCTAACCGGTGCATAGAATCACTGAAATCAGCAGCTTGTTAATAAAAGAACAACAAGTATGCAACCACATAAAAATTACTTGATCTTAAATGCTTTGTGGCGATACGTTTTGTGAAAAGTCAACTACTTTTGAAAACTATTAATGAAAGAGTCTCTAAGGAAGGTGATTGATCTCGTCGGCGAGCTGTGCGATGTGTAATATTACCGTATAGAAGTCTATATTAACCGTCGGCAACGTCGGTAATTCCCTGATAAATTGCATACGGAAGCGTATCATTAGCCGAAAAGAACAAAGAAACCCGAGATTGCGGGCCATAAAGTTAATGCGCCTTCGATACAGTCTCGGTGGTAATAGCGCGGTAAATGAATTTGCACGTACCGACGATTTCAGCGGCAAAACAGAAAACGCAACGTCAAGAACGCTCTAGCATCCTTTCAGCTGAGGGATGGAGTTAACGTAGGATGTTTTATAAGACATTCCACCACTTGATTTACTATTTTTTTTTTAATTCACATAGTAAACAATTTTAAGATAAATAACGATATCCAGTGTGGCCCAACGAAAAGATCGGACACGTCTATTTTGATTACTAGGGGGACATCTTTTCATCTATAGCCGTACAATAAAGGGTGATCCAAAAATAAGATATTGCGTTACACTTTATCTTTTTGAATGGAAACCCCCTTTTTTAATTTTTAGATTATTCGTCAAGTTTTTGGTAACTTTTGTATAATAAAGTTGATACGTATCTTCAATCGTTATGAAGCTATTTGAGTTATTAGCACTTCTTACCAAAACAAAAAATGGTGTTTGTGTTACGCCACTGGACTACACTACACCCCTATATTAAGAATAGTAACTTAGATTTCTTCATTAAGCTGTTTAATTGCATAGCAAAATGTATAAATTCTGTTCAAATTACATAACGTCAAAGTAGCAAATTTTTACTGCACGCCACTGGAGGCAATAACGTTCAATGAGTGTTTCAATCCTTTCTCGGGCATAAGAAATTCTACTTTATGCAACAGTATGAGAAAAAATACCCGTTTTCAAGAGTAATCTAAAAAAAAGTCCCTTTTTTGGGATAAATGAAACACTTTTTTAAAATTCGATAATTTGAGTTATAGCCAACTTTCGAAAAATTTAAGAAACTGCTTCTTTAAGGATAACCCAAAAATTAAAAAGATCCATAGAAAAATTACCGACATCAAAAATTAAGAATCTGACATAGCATACTTTACTAAAACATGACTTCCTTTGCTCACCCTGCTGTATAAGTGAATAGGGAAATGAAATATATCTGTGCGTCTTCTCAAAGAGTTGGTCAAGAACCTTCCAAATACCGCAACTCGATATGTCTTTCCGTTCCGAAAATAACGAGATTTGAATTTGGGTAAAATTTTCCGTGTTGCAAAGCAACTGTCCATCAGTTCAGGTTTTACCCTTACTATTGAGAGATGGAATTGTAGCAGAAGCGACGATACAACACAGCATCACCGGTGATGGCATGCGATCGCATCGCACTTGAACAGCGGCCGCAGCTTCCGCCGCTCTGCCCCTTCTAATCAACGCAAATTGAACCATTATTGGCAATCAATGATCCGGTAATAAACGACGACGGCGATTTCGCGTCCGTTATTGTGGGTTGTGCCGCGTCGGATAGCGCGCAACAGCAGTCCGGTCGTCAATTTACGAACGACGACAAAAGCCGTTGCTTTTGTTGTACAGAGAAATCCATATACCACTGACGTCGTAACCTGTACGAGAGAGAAGCGTTATAAGGAGATAGAAGCACCTCGTTGCCTAGCAACTCGAGTGACGAGGCCACGGACCGCGTTACCACCGTCGCACTCTTTCTAACATACATAATATGTTACGCGTCACGCGATTCTCTCTCGTGCATTTTGCTATTATGCTGCGCTATTCATGATATGCGGATGGGTAAGAACAAACAAAACAAAATATGTCCAAGACCCCAA